CTTTTCTTTTCTTTTCTTTTCTTTTCTTTTCTTTTCTTTTCTTTTCTTTTCTTTTCTTTTCTTTTCTTTTCCTTTCTTTTGGGCCAGATTCTGACTTTAACTGAAACTGCTCTGTTGGCTCATGTTACACGCTGGAGCAATTTGTCTGTCATGTAGATCAGATCAAAATTTAAGTGCTCAAAAATCCCTGCTGAGTCTTCCTACAACTGCAAAAGAAGATAAGAAACAAGAAAACTAACAAAAGACTGAAGGCTTCTTCTCATCTTCCCCTGCCATCAGCTTCCCAGCAGTTTTGCTCAGCTGAAGGGGGTGAGGGGTGGAGAAAAAGATGGCCTACTCATCAGAGCAGAGGCCTGAGACCTCTAACAGCCAACTGAGCAGGATTACCTTATCTGGCCTGACTGACTGAGCTGTTGAGGCTTTGTGGTGACAAGAGGCGGGGGTTTGGAGAGAAAGAAAGGTTATGCTGGAAAAAAGAGGTGAATGATGAGAAGAGGAGGATGAGGTGGGAGGACAAAGGTGTGTGTTAGAACCGTTCTACTGTGGGGCTCTGCTACCAATGAAAGAAACGATTCATAACACTGGTTGTTAGCTGTCAGCAGCACCCAGGCTGATTTCTTTTGAACATCACAACAACAAAAGGCAAAAGTGATTTGACATTTCAATTGCTATTTAAATATTTTACCAGCAGGTGTTGTTTTAAAGGAATAATTTGCTAAACAATCTGGAAAGCAGGTTGTGTTTGTGTGGTCCCAAAGTGATAAATTATCAAGTATTTCCACAGAACGAGCTTCTGTGTTGTTTTTATTTCTCCAGCTTGTGGTTTGACCTCGTCTGTTCTATCTTTTGAGGCATTTTTGTTAGAAGAAATATTTACAGCAGAATACTCAGTCAGCTGTTTTTCTTTCAGCTGCTCTCTTTTGCAGTGAGCAAACTCACATGAAGGAGTTGGCTAGTGTTTTATTATTATTTTTCTCAAATAAAATTAAATAAAGTCAGTAGTTCAGAGTCTTCATATTGTTTGGAGTTAGTCATTAGCCAAAACCATCCTTTTTGTCAAGCCCGCATGCAATGGAAGTTATTTTTTGATGTGTTGTTGAAACTGTTATACATATGTTGGCAACATTGTTGCCTATTTTTGTTATTTTTCACTAGTGAGTGGGCATACTTGTTGCCCCCCATCTTGGCGCCTGTACGTTGGGGTTTACCCCGGTGAACGAGAGGGTAGCCTCCCTCCGCCTAAGGGTGGGGGGACGGGTTCTGACTGTTGTCTGTGCAACAGTTCAGATTACCCACCCTTCTTGGAGTCCTTAGATGGGGTACTGGAGGGTACCCCTCCTAGGGACTCCCTTGTTCTGC